TGCCACGGCAGGTCGAGCAGCGGCTACAGCAGCGACCGGTGCAACTGGTGCAGCTACGGCGGTTTTCGTTACAGTTACGCTAGGGTCCTTCTGTACGACAGCATTGAATCCATTGATTGGATCAGCGGCATATGAAACAATTCGTCGAGAACCATCTGGTTCGATCAGACTGTAACTACCCTGGACGACGTCGCCACTCCGTGTTTCTTCTTGAGCCTTGTTATCACCTTAAGTGATATAAATTATGATAGGAATAAATTAAAATTTGAATAAATATATCATGCTAATCGTAAATAATAATATAAATTTTAGAAAAAGTTACCGGTAAGCCCATCGGCGACGCTATAGCTGAAACTATATTGAGGATTGGGATCGTAATTTTCTGTTCGAAGAACCGCGGCTGGTGCAGCAGCAAGTCCCACTGCTGTAGTTGCTGCAGGCAGAATGCCTCCGTGACAGGCTGCCAGAAGAGTCATAAAAAACCCAAGAGTCTGCGAATAAAAAGGAAACAGATACGGGTTAAAAATATGGTTGATATCTTGAAAGATTACATCATCTTTCTATCTGATTTTTAATCTTATTATTTCTTTTTCTTCCTCTTTTTCTTTCCTTTTTTTTTTTTTTTTTTTTTTTTTTAACTAGGCAAAAATTCACGCAGGATCGCCCTTAAGATATGGAATGAAAGAAATGGATTAATTAGTAACGCTGGATTACTTTGAAATCCATGGTAATTGGAGTCTGGACGTTTGTGCTGGTTGCTGCCCCGAAGACTGCGTGGTAAGAAGGACCGAGCGAGCAGACTTTATACCAATCGGCATCGGTTGTCCCCGCTCTCAATATTCTCTTCGTCATACGTATTTTCTTTGTGTTCGCATAGACGCACACGCGTGACTGCATTCGTACTTGGGTGATTTCGTAGGACTGTGCACGATCGTGCGTGGACATCCGTCCTACGTATTCCGTGCTCGTTGCGACTCGTTCGGAAGGTCTCGTGATTTGATCTTGACAAAGAATTTCAACAAAGTACGAAGATTCTCTGGTAGATTGATTCTCTTCTTCTTTCTTTCTTTTTTTTTTTTTTTTTTTTTTTTTTCTTAGCTTTTTTCTCGTTACATTTTATAACATTATTCTTTGAGATCAAGAATATTTGAAGTACAAACGAGTTCGTTTAGGAATATAATACGATAAAATATAAAAAGTTTTATATTTCCTTTTCACTATTCTTGTTAATTTCTAGATAGATCATTTTAACGATATTAATTTTACTTTAAGTTTTTAGAAAGGTGTCGTAATAGATTCATATGAATGAAAAATCTAGACATTTATAAAGGTAATATTTTATGAATAGATAAATATGTATAAGATATGATTCATGTGCATATTGGATCATAATAATCATTGAAATCTTATTTTTGATCTGGGTCGGTCTTATAAAGTTTGAAAAACATTATCTTCTAAAGAATGTTTCAAATTTGTTGGAAACGACCTACTTTGTACTTAGATGGATTTGATGAAAATTAAATTCAAAAGAGAACTAGGTTGCCAGGTAAAGAATATGTAAAAAGGGCAAGTCCATTTGTTCATTGTTAAACAATTGAAATCAATTATCAAAGATCCTTTCGTATGAAACGATGCGTGATTATAAATTTTCTACTTATTCATTTTACTGTATGTGATTGATACACTAGAATTTCTTTTTATTTACAAGATCTTGATAATATCGCATTAATTTGGAAAAGTACACTTGTTCCCGGTAGAAATGTCGAGTGGAAGCTTTTCACGTATTACCTTTTCAATCCGATTCGAATTCACGACCTGGATCTCAGATGTAACAGGTGTACATACATGTCGTAAATAGAATGATATCGTAAAATGAAAAATGTAAAAATATCATACTTAATAGGCTGAAGGATATGAATAATTTTTTTCTGTACAATTTCCATTGTCTTCTTTTTCTATTTTAATATTTATCTTTCTTTAAACGTTTGAATGATAATTTCATTAAAATTTTGTATTAATAATCATGGAAAATATTATGAATCTTGCGAAAATTCTCAAAAGATACAAAATGAAAAAAAATAATTCCTTTATCATTCCTCCTCATTCATTTGTCTTATTTTATTTATTTATTTATTTTTTTTTAATATTCTGACATAAAGTAAATAAAAAAGAAAATGGCCAAATTCACAAACGAATTTATTAATTAACGTGACGTAAAATATGATTGATTATACTGAAAATTGTCGAATGAAATAAAGGAAAGGTATCAGAGTGAAAATTCGTGTATGATTAAATTGTAAGCGAAGGTTACAGCAACTCGGTAACCCAATTAACGATGGAGTACAGAAAGGACAAGAGATATGGTGAGCCGTTCATCGTAAGAGGATGATGATTAGGGATCAAGTAATGACGATGTGTAAGGTAATAATCGATATCATTGCAACATTTGGTAATAAAATCTTTCGTCGGTTTGCGAGGACGTTCGGCATAGTATTATACCTAGAGATCAGGATCGAGATCAAGATGAAAAGAGAGAGAGAGAGAGAGCGAGAGAGAGAGAGAGAGAAGGGTGGTTAGCAGCTCGCACGGTCGATACATGTAGGTCAAGTAATTCGAGTGGTAATTTAAGGAGCAGCAACGGAGTTGCTAAGAACGCTCTTCGTAACTTTAGCTCGGCTGGTTTCACAAACACTCGGCCTAGTCTCTCAGGTAAAAGCACTGTAGACCAAGGGTGGTCACATATGAGTATGTATATATATATATATGTATGTATACATATATAGATACACACATGCATATACACAAATATATATATACATGTATATATATATATATATGTATATAGTCATTGGTACGTACTTGTGTGTATATATATATATGTATATATATATATATGACCATTGTACAGGGTATTCGTGAAGAACGATACGAAAGTGATGGAGGGAGAGAAAGAAAGAGGTGGAGACCGATTCCTCCGATAAAAGCCACGTCGCTTGGCACCGTACGTCCATTTCCGAAGCAAGGAAGCGATTGAGAACGCAAACGGGGGCGAGACACCTTGCACCGAGAAGATTTCTCGACTTCTCTATTTCTTCGAGGATTCAACGCGCGTGCTAGACGACCGACGGGACGGATAGAGTAACCTTTGTTCTTCTTCTAGACTCGACTCCGGAGGATTCTATCTTTATCTCTCTTTTTACATGCACGCACATACACACCCACGTACATACATACATATGCACACACAAACACACACACTCTCTCTCTCTCTCTCTATCTATTTATCTATCTATCTATCTGTCTTTCTCTCTCTCTCTCTCTCTCTCTCCTTCTCTTTTTAGTTCTTATAAAATTGTAATCTTCTTATGCTTTTTCACGTTAACCGTTTGTTTGTATATGCAATGATTTCAAGGCGAGAGACCTGGATGGTTGTCTCAAAGAACACAAAGGGCAAAGCTTACTTGTCTCTCGAAAGTGCGAAAAAGGATTTTCTTTTTCCTTCGTTCTTTTTTTTCCTTTCTTTCTTTTTTTCTTTTATATATATATATATATATATATATATATATATATATATATATATATATATATATATATATAGGAACAAAAGGAAAAAAGAAAAGACAATTACTTTACGGAGAATAGAATTTTTTTCTTTTCTTTTTACTTTATTCGACCGGAAAGAGAGAAAGAGAGATAGAGATAGAAATAGGGGTAGAGAAATAAAGAGAGGAGAGAAAGAGAGAGAATATATATTTTCTCGATGAAATAATATTAACGATGTAATTACATATAAAAAGTAATACAGTAAATATGAGAGGAATATATGTATATAATATGTATATATATATTATTTCATATGAAAAGAAAATAATTTTTAGCGAAAGAAAATGATCTTCATTGAGAAAAAGAAAAATACAAAAAAGAAAAGATAAAAAGGCCTGGCGTATAAGCTTTTCTTTTTCTCTTTTTTTTTTTTTTTTTTTTTGTTTTTTTTTTCGTCGTTTTTTTCCTGAGGTTTAATATGCTTCTAGAAACTATAGTGAGACTCGAAGTTAAGACGTTGTTGAAATAGTAAGTCGCTTGAGCTTCTCTTTTACGGTAACTGCAATGACCGCACTGACCGCGAACGTTTAGTAGTCTGTCCCTCATGTCTCGATGCACTCGCCCGTGTTAACGCGCTGCGGAACGCGTTCCATCATTCTCAGGAACGATTCTTTATAATTGCCGACTCTTATCCTAATCATCGTATATTATTTATCGCATTAAACGATCATTCATCATTGTACGATGCTCGTTTCAATTCGACGATCCTTTTGCTTTAGTAAAGGACATGACAAATGACCTAAAACCTATTAAGAAGTAATAATGTATATTCCTTCGATGGATTTATTCGTTCTAGTTAAAATTTGAAAAGAAAAATTCTAATCGTAAGTCACAATCATATATTTTTCTTTTACGAATCGTAATAAATATTTATTTGTATTTTTCTTCATAGACAGATATTAGACTTGGACATTATACGATGGATTAATAAACGTCAATCTTTTATGAGAAATATTTAATGGATCGTTTAATTAATAACTTATAATTCGTCTTTATGTAATTAACGTAACATATTGTCCGAGTAATAATTATACTGATATTATTCGTTCGTGCAATCAATTTAATTGCGTTTGGTTATCTTTAGTAAACAGCGGATTCGTAACAAAATGAATCATCGTTCGTGCGTGTTAATCGTTTTACCAAACGATCGAAGTAAAATTTGTTGTTGCGTGTTATTGAGATAATTATTGTCTAATTTAAAAAGTCATTGAACATTATTTAAGAATGATCGATAATGTAGAGAACATTGTTACCGAATCACTGAAGGGATGGATCATGCAAAAAGTGATTTTTAACTATAATTTTATCAGAATTATTTATCACAAGTCATTAAAGTCTTGTTAATTGTTTTAATGAATTAAAAAAACGTCAGACACGTTCAAGATTATCTGTCACAGTTGAAAGAGAAACGGTACTACTTTATTTCCACATTTTCTTTGTTATGATTAACAGATTTATATTTAAAGAAAATACACCTATGAAAAATATTCCCAAGTGAATTTTTTGGCAATATAACGATCAGCATTAAAATCGGTTGGATCATTCTAAGAAATTTAAACATCCAAAGTTCGGTATAGATGGCACCAAGAGCACTGGTAATCCATGGTGAATCCATTAAAAAGTAAAGCTTGAGAAACATAAAATAGGATTCGTTGGTTTTAATTTTTGTCTTGCTCGCGATTGTAATGGACTTTTTAATGACGATTATCTTATAAGTTGTATAAATGAATAATATACTGTTCATCAGGCAAATAAGTATAGGTATAGTTGTGACGTAGACGATGACAGCTATATTGGGACCGTTGGAAAAATTATCAAAATTTGGTTTGATAGGTGAGTTCTTTGGTACTAAAGGCGATAATTCGACGATACAAGCAATAGCCGTCGGCACGAAGGATATACCCCAAACCCAAACAGAGTATATCAGAAACTTTCGTCTTTCTTGAGCTCGTTGCTGTTTGGGATCGGTTGGTGGCGTCCAATGGAGTCTGGTGATGACCAGGGTCATGTCGATGCAAATGACGAAGAGCCAGAAGGTGGAAGATATCGATAGAAACATCAGGGCCAAACAGGAGATAGTGTACACCGAGAAGTAGAGAGTGACACGACAGAGTAAGGACCATCCGATGGCGATGAGGATAGAGTTTAAGATGACCTGCGAAACATTGTAACAAAGGACCGCGCCATCGTAAGCGCGTTTACGTAGCCCGGAGACCGTCGAATAAATCAGTACAACGATAAGATATGGTAAGATATAGATAACATTAGCGAATACAACTATGTTGGCACCCCAAAAACTCAATGGCGTCAAAATACTTTGACAATAATGTGTCTCTTCTTTTAATTCTTTTTTTATCTCGCATAGACTGTTATTGTCATTAATTTCTCGTTGTTCCTCTAGATTAATGTTAAAGGATTCATTACGATTGAGAAACCTTTGAAGAATGATGTAACTGTTGTTAGATCGATACTTGAAACAAGCATCGAAGCATACCCATGAGTCCACCATGGTACTCGTCATTTCGGAATTATCTGAAAACATAAATACATGCTGGTGGTAGAGAGTAAGTCGATGGCTACATATATATATATATATATATATAGCAGTGTGTCGGTGCGTTATAGGAGAACGCGCGCGCATGGTATCGATCCCGAAGGGTGAGCCGCGCGCTCTCTGTTTGGATAATTTGGCCGGGACTTCTGCGTTCCTCTTTCTCGTACACTCACATATACATATAGCTAATACACGTATACCTAGGAACAAGCAACGATTGTTTTGTCCGATCCTCGTGTTCCACCCGATTGAAATTCCATATGGGAACGTTTAATCGTTCGTTCGTTCGTTCGTTCGTTCGTTCGGTTGGTCGGTTGGTCGTGATTTCGCTCGATCGAAACTGCCGTTTTCCCAACTTCCCAACCGCCATGGAACGCAACGACGATGCTTCATGGTGTATACCAGTTTACCGCTGTTCGTGCTACGAGCTCGTTAGAAAAATTCCAAAGCGAGAAAATCAACCGTTCGAGATGTAAACTTAACGATCGATTGAGATTCTATTCCGGCGTTGAAATCAAACGTGAGACGGACGTTATAGCATGACCAGAGAGAAGAAAATGAAAGATCTAATCTAACTATTTTATAAGAATTATATTACTGTTTTTATTGATTCATTATTGAAAGAGATTTTCATTAACTAAATAATAATAATCTATGCGATTGTACTTTTGATTTCATTTAATTTCTAATATGAATCCAATGATATTTTTTTATAAGATCAACGAAAGTGTAATGTCATTTAATATTCAATGTCAAAGGATCAGGAGAATATTGCTTTTAATTTATTTTCAGACTGGTTCACTTGCCATTTCTAATTATTTTATGAGTTTTATTATATCTCCTGAGATGGATTCAATAGAACAACTAATAATAGGTTAAATTTTTTCTAGACGAATAAAAACGTCTTCTAAGGTTTATTACATTTAGGAGAGTACTTTGTTAAAAGAGTTAATTAAAAAAAAAATATATATATATATATATATATACATGTATATATATATATTTATACGTTCATGTTTCAGAAGAAAAGAAAAACTACGGCTTGTGCATATTTGTATAAACCGAAGGAGAGACATGAGTCTCGACTGTACCATTGCCGGTTTTTCCTCGAAAACATTTATCGACCACTAAAATAACCGTCTACGCAAGAATTATCATGGAATATGTCTGGCCTATCACAATGCCGTTTATGGGCTCGTAAAAATTTAATTAGTCGTTCAATATGTGCCGAACAATTTCTGTCAGAAAAGATATCGTTCGCGACGTCATTATATTTGATGGTACGCATTAATTAATTCATTTTTAACAGAGTTATTATTCTTTTTATAAGATCGAATAATATGGATATATAACTACATATGGATATATATACATACATGCATGTATATATGTATATATATATATATATATATATATATATATATATATACAATAAAATAATATTAATTTTCTTTTATCTTTTACATAATTAATTTCATTTAAGTTTATAATTAATGATAATTTTATTCGATGTTAAGATTTTCAAAATAAATTGTAAGTAGAGAAAACAAATGATATTTCGCATATTCATTAATAGAAAACTAACGATTGATAATTATATGTAATATATATATATATATCTCATTTGAACCTCTTATTTTCTTTTAATAGAATCAAACGATCATTTATCACCACTTGACAGAATCTATAATTATAATCAATGTCACGAGTATAAAGACCGGTTAATTTTAAAAGGTTTCATTAAAATTCTTTCTTATTAAGTAACAATTTTATCAGGTTACGAATCAAGTGTCTACCAATTTATAGTTCGGAACATGTCAATAAGAAAACGAGAAAAGATCGAATGGAAATACGATAACAGCTGGTAAAGGAATGTAAAAAAAAAAAAAGAAAAAAGAAAAAAAAGAAAAAAGAAGAAATAAAAGGGAAAAGACGATGCGAATTAACCAAATCAGAGAGATCTGTAAGGGTGTCGATAACCGTACGATGGCCGAGAATAAACGTCGTTGTCGTTCTCGTTGCGGTTCGAAGATAGAAATGAAAAAGAAAAAGGAAAAAAGGAAAAAAAAAAAAAGAAAAAAAACAAGAAGAAGGGAAAACTTTCCCGAAAGGAAATACAAATCTTGAAGGGGGAGAAAAAGAAAAAAGAAAACAGGAAGAGAGGGGTCTATTATCGTGGAAAGATAATAAAAAAAAAAAAAGGAAAAAAAAGCATAAACAAATAAAAAAAAAAAAGAAAGAAGTAAAACTAAAGTCGAGAAGAAGGTGAGGAGAAGGGGGGAAAAGATTCGATGGTTAAAGAGAATTAAGAGAAGGAAGAGTGATTAGATGAAAGGAATAGAACTTGGCTAACTTACATACCTTCGATAAACGTAAGAAGGGTGCGATTTGCATCGTCGTCGATTAAATTGGCACACCTCGTTTCCCTCCATTCCCTTTCTTCCTTTTTCCACGATTCTAGGACACAGCATCTTCCCCGAGTTACTTCGTTCGTAGCCTCGCTTTCAAGAATCGTGAAACTCAAAGAGTTTGCGAAGACGAATACGTAAAAGATGGACGTAAAGAGAAACGAATCTAATTCGGCCATCATCATCATCATCATCATCATCATCATCATCATCATCATCATCATCATCATACCTCCATTCCTTTTTTCTCCATCTTTTATCTTATCTTCTCAGTTCAGTTTAAAATCGAAAACAAGAGAACGATCTTCGTAAGGCGATAAACGAATCCGTCAAACGTCTCCATAAATCCTTTCTCCTCATCAAAGATTCTTCGAGTTCACCGAGAAGCAAGTTGTTCGTTCAGCGAGTCATCCGACGACAACTACAACGATGATGACGACGACAACTACTATGACGACGACGACGACGACGACGACGACGACGACGACATCGGAAGAAGAAAGGATGGAAGGAAAGGAAGGAAGATGCGAATTTCAGTAAACGAGCGAAATAAAAAGAATGAGAGGGAGAGAGAGAGGGGGGGAGGGGATGGGGGAGGGGAAGGGAAAGAAGGAAGAAATGCACTCGTGACCGCACGCGTTACTGCTCGTGTATCTCTATTCGACGTTACGTTCGTTCCTATTATTAGTGTGTGTTAGTGAATACACGCATACACGCACGTATGCGATGATACTTGACACAGAGTATCAGGACGGTAGGTCTTTCGAAGCACGAGTAAAGATATTTCAAAGTTGCACACACTCTCTATAGCTTCTCCCCTCCTTCAATCGTTTGTAGCATACTCGAATGTGTACATATGTGACTATGTATACGTGTGTATATGTGTGTGTGTGTGTGTGCGTGGCCATATCTCTTCTCGCGTCCTCCAACACAGTTGTTCCACCTTCGAGACCATGTCGCGTGCTGCTTCTTCCTCTATTTCTTTCTGCTCTTTCTCTCTCTCTCTCTCTCTCTCTCTATCTCATACACTCGTTACTATCCTATCGCTCGGAAGGAGGGGCAAACAGAAAGAGAGAGGGAGTGTATAAGAGAGAGAGAGAGAGAGAGGAGGGAGAAAGACAGGACGTGAGACGGAATAATTATCCTTCCTTGGTGACATCAGAATATTTCCCGCGCTCTTGCTTCATACCAAGCCAATGTATATACATACCACAAGAAACTTCCACAAGGAATGAGAAATATTTTGTTGAGTTACGAGCTACTTGGGTATCACTGTTTCCTCGGACTCTTATCTTGCTTCTTTTTCTTCTTCTTTTTTTTTTTTTTTTTTTTTTTTTTTTTATTTTGTAAATGCTTTTCTTTTTAGTTTTTTTTTGTCGTTCGTTTGTTTTTTTTTTATTTTCTTTTTTTTTAATTTTACGTCGACCTCATTATTAGTTACTTCGTCCGTCTTTGGCCGTCGCCATTTTTCTTTTTTATTATTTTCTTCATCTCCCCGTTTTACCTTCATCGAGAATTCTTCTCAAGCTGGATACATTTACAGTTAGCCATTGCTCTTCCTTTCCTATCCTTCGATTCCTAGCGGACTTTTTATTCTTTTCTTTTCTTTTTTTCTTTTCTATTGTTGTTGCTCTTCTTCTTCTTCTTCTTCTTCTTCTTCTTCTTCTTCTTGCTTCTTCTACTTCTTCTTCTTCTGCTTCTTCTTCTTCTGCTTCTTCTACCAAACAGGATTATAGGTGGGAGAGAAGGAGACAATTTTCAGGATTTACCGACCGTTCGAGTAGATGAAAAATGTTTGTTTCGTATGTGGCGGCTTTAGAGGAGTCTTGAGTGGTGGAAACCATTTCCTGCCGGCTGTCTTAACGGTTTAGGAAGGTTCAAAGTGTCTACAGAAAACTAGAAAGGAAAAAGAAGATAGAGAAAGAGAATATAAATCGATATCTTTTTATATGTCTCATCTCTGGATCTTTCTACTTAGGATATGTCTTCTTATTTCTCTTCTAAGTTCTGTTTAGATTGAGCTCTTTTTAGATTCAGTGCTTGTTAAATTTGATCAAACCTCAATGAGTTTATTAATCATAGAAGAACAAACTATTTTTTGTTTTTTTTTTCTCTTTTTTTTTTTTTACAAAAAAGACGATATTAAATAAATGAAAACTAATATTTATAATAGTTGAATAAATAAATAATAAAATTCAATAAATAAAAGTAAAGTAGAATTATGATTGTCAATTCTTTGATTAAATGATAAATGTTATAAGATGATTTTCATTGAAATTGAAAATTATATATAATTCTTGTAAAGTTAACAATATATTTTTAAAGATAATACATTTATGAAAGAAATTTATTTGCAAGGACCGATTTCTTTTGTATTATAAACGATATTTCTTTTTCTATTATGCGTGAATAATTTTATGTATGTACGAGAGACAAAAAGAATCGTAAATTGTTTAATAAAGAAAACTTTTGTCACGGTTTATACGAGACGAGAGTAAGAAAAAGATGAAACGAGAGAAAAAGACAGAGGCATGTATACTTGAACTTTGTACCTTCGATAAGGGTACTCGTTCGCAAAACTTCTTCGTAACTAATGTTTAATCATCCATAAACAAAAATTAAACTCAACGATGTAAAACGTAACATAAACGGATGCTAATCAAACTTATGGGAAAGCCAATGTGTTAAAATGCGACACCAAACATTAATCGGAAATGGAAGATGATAACACCGAGTCGTAAATACTCGTTATCGTCAAAATGCATTTTGTATTGCATTCCAAAGTATTCGATGACATTCATCAAGGCATGTACCGTTCGATAAAATCTATTCAATTCAATAATTTACTTTCTAAGATATATAATAGCGTTTTATTTTTGTCTAAACGTAAATTATTCTAATATCATAACCGTGAAACACATTTGAATTAATTGTATATTCAATTGATTTTTATTTCCAATAATTTCTCTATGACTCGTATGGATTCGTCTACCGTTATATTCCATTCAAAAATTTAACGAATCTTGATATTATAAAATAGTACGATAAATTTCGATAGATGAATTAATAATACATAAAGTTTAATTGATTCAATGATTTTTTAATTTGATTTATATCTTAATAGGAAAGTTCTCTATCGCATAAATTTCTCAATTATCTACAATGTGATTCACACTTGTACTGTCATTATAATTACGTATATAAAGGAAAGAAAAAGTGAATAAAGGAAAAAAAGAGAGAGAGAGAGAGAGAGAGAGAGAGAGAGAGAGAGAAAAACAATGAAATCAAAAAAGAAAAAAAAGAAAAGATTGATAAGAGATGAGGAATGAGATGAGACTCATGGCTATAATTTATTTATTTTTTAAATTTACATCTCGAACGAGTCACACAAATAATCAGTTTTATTGAATAATGTTGCGAAAGAAAGAGAAGTGGGAAAATAAGAGAGAGAGAGAGAGAGAGAGAAAGAAAAAGAGAGAAAAATAAAACAAGAGGAAAAACGTTCTTCGAGTAGCTTGACGAGCTCCGCGATAAATACATGTACATAAAATATATATACACGTATAAGAGGTAAATAGAATAGCACATATAATAGTATAAAAATGTAAGGACGTCGAATGATTCACAAAGCATGCACTTTAATTATTGTCGTCAGTGCCGAACGATATATCAAAGAAGATGCACGTACATCGTATGGCAAGGCTTTTCTTCACGAGTATCCTCTTTTTCGTTGAAAACACAGCCACACCAACATCACCATCAGTATCGATAAGACCATCAACGAAATGGAACGACTATCATCGGATAGATCTGCCAAAGAAATGTTGTATCGAGGGTTATCTCTTCGACGAGGAGCTGACGTGCGTGAAGGTCATCGAGGATAATCATTTTTCGAAGGAAATGGAGACGGAAATACGTGCTCATGGGTTCTCATGCGAGAAGAACGTTGCAATGTTGATGGAACGTGGTCCAAACGATTCCTGGACTTACACGACGGTCGACGTCCCAAATGATTATTGTCTCGAAACGATGACGAATGGGAGCCAAGTGTTGGCCAAGTGTCCGGATTTATTAAAGATTTATGAAAATACATCAACTACGTCGATCTTATCAACCACGACAATGAGAATTAACAACGAGAGTATTGAGATTACGATGATATGCGATAACAAGAATCGTACGAAAAAATTAGAAGCCATATTTTGGGGTGCGAAAACTTATATGCTGACGAACATAGCCCATATGATACTTTGCATCGTCGTCGTAGTAACATATTTGTCAGTATCTGAATTACGTAAAGGTGTCTACAATCGTGCAGTTCTTCGGCACAACATATCCTTGTTGGGATTGGGTTGTATACTAACGTTTCTGAGTTACTGTCAGTACTCCTTGGACGATAACCTGACCATCCTACTTTGGCTTCTTCTACAATATTTCACCCTGGCGACGGTATTCTGGCTGAACGTGATCTGCTTCGACATGACCCTCTCTATCACAAGATTCCGTTGGACGGTTGGACTCGGTGCTAACAACGAGAGAGACAAATACAGGAGATTGCTTCTATACGGTGTTTTCGCTTGGGGTGGTGCGCTTCTACCAACGGTCGTTGCCGGCATCTTCGAATACACACCAGGAATACCAAAGAACTTCCCGTTGAAGCCCAATTACGTTCGGTATTGCTTGGGCCCAAACCCAACGGTGAATTTCTACTTCTTTGTCATACCTCTCATCACTCTACTATGTAACAACGTACTATTTCTTTTCACGACCTATAAAATCATACGGATACAAAGTAGTACCAAAATGGCGACGAAAAATCAAAGCAGCTTACTCACCAAGAAATATTTCCTATTTCTAAGGCTTTATTTATTGATGGGTGCACCTTGGTTCTTTGGGACTCTCTTTGCATGTTTCAACAAACTCGTCATCCTAAAGATCTGTCGTCTAATCCAGCCCATACTATGGCTCTTCATGTTATTAACACGGAAGAATATCAGACAAAAAATAACTGACATATTCTATTGCTTCGTCTGATCCGAGGATCGTAATGGAACTACTATTTTGACTGGTATGGATTAATTCATTTCGACGATCTCACAGATAATATTCCGGTTAGGCTTCTTTGAAATTTTCGAGGTTACAACGTTCGTCTGCTCATTTTTATGGCTTCACATTTATGATGCACTTGGACTTTATATATATACACGCTTCACACACACACACACACACACACACACATATTCAATAATTCGTATGTATATATTTATTTCTGTATCTCTCACTTTCGTCTTCATCTCGCGTCTGTTCTTGCAAAATTCATTTACATTTTCGTTGTGTAATGTGTCTTGTGAAATCCCACAATAAGATTCGAGGAAAAACTTGACGCTCGATCATCTCTCTCCCTCTTTCTCTCTCTTCTTTCTCTTTTTAGCTTTTATGTTCTTTAACAATAAGAGCGTGTACGAGAGAGAGAGAGAGAGAGAGAGAGAGAGAGAGAGAGAGAGAGAGAGAAGGAGAGAGAAGACTCAACTACGAATCGAGAAAACTTACACGGTGTTCTGTCAGCTTGGACAAAGAGGGGGAATTCTTTTGTTCGAGGTGGGATTAGTGACTAGAGAGAAGAAGTGGAAGGGAAATAAAAGAAGAAGAAAATAGAAAACGTAAAAAAAAAAAAAAAAAAAAAAGAAAAAAAAAAGTAAGAAGAAAAAAAAAAAGGTAAAGAAAAAGAGAAGATGAACGACGAAGAACGGAATGGAGAAAATCAATTTTATCGTCGCACTTTCGCCACGATTCTTACGGGGGAAAAAAACATTGGGAAAATTATTTTTTCCCTCGAAGTATTTGAATTCGATTTCATTTTCTTCATTTTATCCTACGTCTCATGAGAAAATCGTTCGATCTCGCTTCCACCATTGTTTCCTTTATTTTTCTTTCTTGTTCGTCCGAACGGGGATTACGATATCGAGCGAGAGACCAGAATTGCCGTGGAAAATTCTATGAAAGGATGAAATGTATGGAAAGGAAATTCACGAACTGCATTGACCGTTGGCCCATACGACGACGTAGAGTTCGTCGATCGAAATTGGAGGGAGCAAGGGATTCGCCATTTTCTTTCTACCTTTTTATATTTTCGTTTCGCTGAAAGAAAGAAAAACGTGATTTGATTTGATCTCAATTATTTATTTATTTATTTATTTCTTTTCTTTTTTTTTTTCTTCCTTTTTTTCCTTTTTTTCCTTACTCTACAATTTCGTGAAAATATTTACATTGACTATTACATTGAAATTTATTCGCATTAGAGTGGTAATTATTTGTAAAAGAAAAAAATAAAAGATGTCTTTATTTTTAATATTATTTTAATATTATTTTAATCGTTTTATTATTGTAAAAAGATTTCATTCGTAGCTTTAGATAAAAAATTAATATTAATTAACATCTTTTCGTCAAGGATATATCGATAAATTGTCGTTTACGTTTGAAGTAATGTTTTATAGAAATCAAACATTTAGAGATATTAATAATTATCACGCATAAGTATTTAATTAAATATAATTATCGCATAATAGTATTAATTGGAACAAACAGGGAAAAAAGGAAAAGGATGAAATAGTTTTAATAAAAAAAAAAAAAGAAAAAAAAAGAGAAATCAAACGAAGATACAAAAAAATATTCGATTTAATCGAAATATGTGAAATACTTTAAAGGATTGTTAATAGGAAAAATTATTCATAAAACGTTTATTACAATTACGAAGTTACGAGATTTTCAAAATATTAGATTCGTATAAATACTATTAGAAATTAGTTCGAGATAATGATGATTTTAACGAACGAAAATAACGTTTTGTTAGAATGTAGAGGGTCCTCGTGTACGGTTGCGTGAACGTTCGATCCCTTTTGTGTGAATTCTCGCAGTTGGTTTAACGATGCCCGCAAAATCCTGTATTCTCATGTATCAGCCTTAACGAGACGACGAATGTATTATTTAATGATAACGGTTGATCAATTGACCGATATATCGACATTTAATTTACCGAAAACGTTCGAACGTTAAGCTTATGATTTTCGCTTAATTTTCTACAACTGTCGTATTTAAATGGAACGATATATCGAAAGATATTAATACTTTTTATTAGAGAATTAAATCCAAAATTATCAATAATTTTTACAAGATATTTCAACAATTCTTTTGAAACAAATATTAATAATTTATTCTACTACTGAAATATTTGCGATATTTAATGATAGAAAATTTTTACGATCGATATTGCGGAATAAAATTCGTTAAAAAAAAAAAAAAAAAGAAAAGAAATATTCGAATTGAATGGCGTATAAAAAAAATCAAAAAAAAAAAAAAAAAAATATCAAAGTATCGTATATAACGAAGATTTTACATTTAAATCGTTCTTGAATTCTTTGAAGATTATTGGCAGTAAGATGGTCTTCGACGTATTATACTCGTCCTTACTATATTGATGTATTTCATTCAATAAACGTCCCAATCGTAAAGAATAACAAATCTTATAGAAAACTATAGAAAACTAAAATCGATCTCATCCCGATATACGAGCTTCCGCGTGTGTTATGTTCTATTTATCAAAAGAAGATCTTCGTTCGAGAAAATGGATTGGTTCGTATGTAGAGAAATAAAGAGAAATAGAGATAGATAGAAAGAGAGAAAGAGAGAGAAAGAGAGAGACAGAGAGAGAGAGAGAGAAAGCTTTTTGGGATCGTATCTGTTCTTAGAGAATATATTCGAAGTGATGGCAATAAAAATATGTTGAGTTTGTTGAAAAGATTTCATTTAAAAATACAATATTTTGATTGCAGCTCGTTTATGTAGGATATCTATAACGGAAATATCATACTATATCTTATTGTTTATATAGAGTGATTCGATGGACCATTTTCAGATAAAATGATCCTTTATTTCAGCAATTTTTTTTTTTTATATATATATATATATATATATATCTAACAATTTCGATATAAAATTTAATAAAAAAATGTAAATAAAATTCAATGATTTACTTTTCTATATGTATGAAACATTTCATAATATATATATATATATATATATATATATATATATATATATATAATGAAATATATTTCATAAGATCGGTAAATAAAGAGCTTTTGTACATAGCAATAGTTACCTAGACATTTTGTATGTATTTGTATATGTATATATTATATACTCTAATAGTTCCTTCTTGAATAATGCATCGGTCGGTGTATTTGCATCGAACTTGAGGCGGTCGCCAGGTCTGCCTTTTCCTCTCTTCTTCCTTCTCCTTCTCCATCTTACGTCTTTCTCTTCTCTTTCTTCTTCTCAAGCAGCTTCCCACGGCATCGTCGCCAGTCTCTTCTTTTTCCAACTTCGAAACCCCCACGCTCGAGCCCTTGTGCCCTTTCTTTCTTCCTTCCTTCCTTCCTTCCTTCCTTCCTTCCTTCCTTCCTTCCTGACTTGCTTGCTGGCTTGCTTAGTCCGTTGCAGCTTTCAGCTTCGCCACGCACAAATAAACGATATCCACGTAATTACGTTAACGACTCTATTTTCAAGACAAGACGGGATAAGTATCATAATCGCGTGATTATGTGAATCGTAAATTGTTATAATTTAACATAATATATATGTATGCATATATACATATATATGTATATATATATATCATGTTAAGTTATTATATGTATATGTACATGTATCATAAATTATTGTTCTAAATTAACATAATATATATGTACGTATATGTATGTACAATATATATATATATCCAATATATATATATATATATCCAATATATATATATATATATATATATATATATATATATATATATATATATATATATTGGATTGATGGAAGTTTGTCTCACTTTTTGTAAAAAAATTGAAGAAAAATTTTATTTACTAAAAATGGTAAATAAATTTGTAAAATAGTAAATATAAAATTAATTATTTATTAATATAATAATTATATTAATATATAATAATATAATATAATAGTAATGTATAATTAATTAATTAATTATAAAAATAATAAATATATGTATATGTATCGTAAATTATTGTTATAATTTAATATAATACATATGTACTTTTGTGTATAATTTGTATGTTTATAATTTTTCTTTTATTCTATATTCAAATTAAAATAAAAAAATAAATAATTGAAATATTATTTATAAAAATAATATAAATTCATTTAAAAATAAATAATACGTATATATACATATATAAATATACATATGTATCATAATAATATTGTAGTTTATTATATTTTTTATTAAATATTATTTTAAAAAGACATATAATATAACGAAAGAAGTAAATAAGAAAAGAAAAAGATAAAGTGTATTGAACAAGTCATATTTCTTCTCTTCTTTATATTTTACTCACTTATCTTGATTTTACGCTTATCTTTCGGTTTTAATTTTCTTTGCCACGGTCGTTACTTTGTTTTTCGTTTAACAAAAGCATCGTTTGATTTATAGTCGCTCACATACACACTTACCTACATATATTATGCAAAATACGATGCTTCTAGGAATACATATTTGCACTTACAAGAAACAGAGTTTTCTTAGTAAACATCACATATGTATATAATATCTTTATTATATATAATATCGTATATGTAAAGTTAATATAAGAATGGACATTATATCGATTTCAATAAAAATATTTTAATTATTGTTATTATATAATATATGATGGCCATTGAAAAATATGTATTTTTAAAAGTTATTTTTCTTTTTATATAATTATATTTTCAATCTTTCATTGGCCACATTGTATATGGATTTGAAATCGAAGAGATTTAAATGAGGAAATGAGAATGTATAAATAACATAAAAAAACAAGTAATAATTAAAAAACATATATATATATATATATGTGTTTATAAATATTATTGTTAAGGATATACGTGTTCTGAAAGTACAATCTATGATGTTTCTAAGAATATAGTTGTTTACGGGCATTCAAGAAAAAATATTATTTATCAACTACGATGAGCCTTCACGAGAGATAAAATGTACGATTTTTTTTTTGTCGTATTAAAAATATAATCCAATTTATTTAATATTAATTAAAGTATAAAAAGTAAGAGCCGCAAAAACATTCCTATTTTCGTAGAATCATCCATATATGATTTAAATCTATGTATATATATATATATTTTTTTTTTTTTTAACTTAAAAAATGTATTGAACGAAGCATTTACATTCGCAAATACATTTGAATATCATTAAATTCTTTCGATCACGGAGTATAGTGCAGTTTAGTTTATTTCTCTCTTGCGCGTCATGAAAAGTGGCCAAACTTTTCATGCTTGGAGCTCGCGTCGTTTACAAACAAAAGTCACGTAAATTTGTCCAAAACACAGACGAGCCGCAACTATTTGTTCAGGAATTTTTGTGAGGACATCTCGTCCGCCAACTTTGCCGTATGTTCCAAATAAAAGAAGAGATCGAAAAAACAGATTACCTTATATATATTTTCATGTATATAACATATATATATGTGTGTGTGTGTGTGTGTGTGTGTGTATTTGGCATTTATAGGACGGATTTCTGGAACATCTCGAGTTTTGAATTTCGAAAATTTGGATTAACCTTTCACGGTTGTACTCTTGAAACGACAATACGTACGGCTATTACCAAAGGCTTCCCACGCATTTTGCCATTCTCTGCATCATCGTAAGAAGATTACGTCGTCGACGTACAAGAGAAAGAGAGAGAGAGAGAGAGAGAGAGAGAGAGAGAGAGATAGAATGGAACATTAACCCTCGCACCCCCGGGAATACATTTTCAGGAAAAGCTTCGTCATCGAACGAGCGAACGTTTTATTTATAGACTTTAATATTTAATATAATTTCTCTTTTCTTTTCTTCTCTTTTATTTCTTTTATTCTTTCTTTTTTTTTTTTTTTATTTTTTGTTTTATAATCATCACATTTAAACTGTCACCTTTCGTATATACTCGAAAAGATCGACGAATAGAATTGATTTCGATGGAAAATTTCACTTTGACATTTTATAACGTTCGAATAATATCTATTTTTTAGATGTCGTATCAAAATCAGACAAGAGGTATGGATGGGATATTGTTAACGTCTTTTCGTGGTAGATATAATATTTCGATATGATACGGCTAAAAGTACTTGAAATCCTTTAGAAATACGATATGAATTTTGGAAAAGTTCCAAGTATACTTTTCCATGAGTCTCATATACTTCGAAATATTTTATTATATTTTTATATTTATTTATTTATTTATTTATTTATTTTTTTTTTTTTTTCGTTATTCTTTATCGCGATTTACAATGTTTAATTTAAAGATGTCGTCTATCTAAATTAAGACTATCCAATATGCATTGTATAATTATAATTTTTAATTACACGTATACGACGTTTAAAATTATGAACTCTACGCGGCTTCGATCTTTGAAGATTCTATTAAGAAGTTTATAAGCTTCAAAATTTCAAAGCTTTGTAAGTTCGACCTTCGGAAATATCATTTGGAAGTTTTCAGACTTTAAAGCTTCAAATTTTTTAATCTTCGACATAAAGTAAAAATAGCCTTGTTACCACGGTATAGTCTAGTTCATTATATACTCAAGATGATCATTTGAACGAACTTTGAAGAAATTATTTTAATTTCGAATATCGATACGTTTATGCGACTCGTCATTTTTGAAAAGTTTCATGTGTATTCATTTTTTTTTTGTAAATAATAAAAAAACAAAAAAAATAGAAAAAAGGAAAAGAAATGACAAAGATGTAAAACTTTGACAAATGTCTCAATGTAATTTCATTAAAAAGTCGAACTTCTCATTAAAAAAAAAAAAAAAAAAAAAAAAAAAAGAAAATAAAATAAAATAACGACGAAACTCTTGTTGTTTTTTTTTTAATAAAATAAAATATTTGCGCTTTCGTTGAATACAAAATCAATGATTTTACGTTGAATATGTATCGATGAACGATATAATCGATAAAACGTGAATGAAAATTTTCGAAAAAGAATCGATACATTTCACTCGCGTACAATTTCATGTATATACGTGGAAACGATTCGTAGAAGCGAAGAGGAAAAGATAAATTTGGATGTCGAGGAAGAGTCATTGTGAAAATCCATCGACAGCTATTATCCAGGGACAATCAGGCAACTAGTCAGTCAGTCAGTCAGTTAGGCAAGCAGGCAGGCAGGCAGGCAGGCAGTCAAGCAGGCAGTCAGTCAGTCAGTCAGACAGTTAGTTAGACAGGCATGCAGGCAGGGAAGCAAGCAGGCAGATATCGAAAGAAAAAGATAGATAAATAGACAGATAGATAGAGATAGAGAGTATGGATCGATTCGTAAGAGTTCAAGGTCAACGTCACTTTCATTCGATTGAACCACCGTACGATGAGAGAAACTACGATATTGGCTCGCTATCGAGAAAACAGATAGAGTGCTTGACTCGTAGGAGATTATCACGACAAAGAGAGAATGAGATTTACTTGAAGAAACATCCCGAAGTAAAAGCTTTCATAAGTATTTTGTTAAGGTATATCTGATTAATTAATTAAATTTCTTTTTCATCATTTATTACTCAAAAATTCTCATTTCTTTCTAATTATTTATTATTATTATTATTATTATCATTATTATCATTATTATTATTATCATCGTAATTTTTTTTTCTTTTCTTTTCTTTTCTTTTTGTCCTCTTTTATCATCCCTCTCTTTATTCTCTATCTCTTGTCCATATTTTTACGTTTTTTATTTTTCATCAGATATCTATTGAGAAGCTTACCGGAGGAAAACGTTCACGAGGCTGTCGGTGCGTTTTTTAATCGACCTCGTTACGAAATAGTGACGGATCTCAAGGAATATCTGCGAGAGACGGGTCAGCCTATACCCTCGACGGAAACTTTTGAAGGGAAATCTTCCAAGGAAGAGACGACGACTACTACTAAGACGACTACTACTACTACTACCATTGGTAGTAGTACATTCTCGAACTCTGAGGAGGAATCCATTCAACAAGACTGCATGCCACATTTCTAAAGCAATGTACGTCTTTTATAATGCTTCCTTATCTCTCTCCTTCTCTCTCTCTCTCTCTCTCTCTCTCTCTCTCTCTCTCTCGTGTATACGTTTGTTACTAAAAAGAAAGAAGAAAAAAAAATCCTCACTTATGTCACTAAAGTATTATATTTTTGAGAGTGCAGGTAATTTATTTATTCGTGACATTATCGAGATATATCCCTCTCCCTCCCCCCTCCCCGCCCCTCTTATAATAAGATAGTTAAGGGAATATTTATTCAATATGAAAGAAAAAACGTAAACGTCGCTTTTTGATATGTTCTCGTTTTATAAAAAGAAAAAAAAACAATATGTCTTCCTGTTGTACATGTAGATTTGTAAAATTTCTCAGAGAAATAATTAAATGTATCATTGTCATATATTTTTGGAATCATTTTCATCGTTAAGATAGAATATTATAAAATAATGCGCGGACGAATGTATTAAATGTAAATGAAAAGTTTGATCAGTAGTTTCAGATGAATAATGTCATGATCCAAGTGATCCGATAAAGTTTATACGTATGTACGATAACAGTACTATATATTCACGGGTCTTCATAGTTATGCATTAATAGGGGATTATTATGGTCCGTAGAATTTAAAAATATCTTTTAGAAATTTGTCAATATTGTATTATTCTATATAATTATATCGTGTATTCTATCATGCGATATAAAAAAAAAGAAACGATATTAATATTTCTATCAATGAGAAATAAAAGGAAAAATAGAAAAATATCTGACAATTTATTAAAAATAATAAATTTTTAATGAAAATAAATTTAATAGTAAATTTTATTTCTCGTTTGATATTTTTCTTTCCTTTTTTTCTTTTTTTTTTTTTTTTCTTTTAATCAATACAATCAAGATATCCAATAACGTTTCTCTGCTTTTTTTTCTTTCTTCGAAGGATTTCAAGTTCGAATAATATCTGAACGAAAATATTAAGTTTTGTAAGGCAAAGAAAAAAAGAAAAAAGAAAAAATATTGTTCCTAAAACATGGTCAATTTCATTGTACCTCGTCGAAGGTTTTACACCAGCCTTTTACGGAATGGTCTAGTCGATAGGGAACTTTTCGAGCTAATCGTGGACGACGTTACCGATTTTTGTATTAACGCGAACGATGAACGAGCTGGATAAGCGGCTGTGTGTACGGAAGGAGGGGATCGATCGTATGCGGGGTGCAACAACCCTCCGCTCACGCCTCAACCCCACTACCCTCCCCCTCCCTCTACGATTAACAACTTCGACGAGCAAAGAGCTAAGGTTACACGGTCGCAAGCTTTTTCGCACGGCCCTTTTCTTACCTTCAGTATAAAATTAAATTCGAACTGATTCGATACGATTTCTCATCTTTCCTTTTCTTTTCTTTTTTTTTTCTTTTTTTTTTTTTTTTTTTCATATTCACTTTATCATCGTTAATATTTGCAAATTCATCGTAATTTATCGTCGCTTTGTTATCGTTCGAATAATAAGAAAAATAATTTAATTATTATTAAATCTTTAAATGATTAAATGACATTTAACAAATAATAAAATTTAAATTGACGGAGGAGAAATTAAATCAGTAGTGATACTTCTGTGTTCGTTAATTATTTATGACAGACAAATGACAGATATAGGGGTCCGAAGCGAAGTGGTCGAACGCACTCTACATATATCTCGTTGTTTAATAATATCCTACTTCTCGATTCAATTCTATGTGATACATAAAATAGATTTGATTGATTAACTTTTCGATAGTATTTAACTTTTGGAAATTTTCTATTCTATTTTAATATTAACGAATTAATTTATGTAATATACCAATTAATTGGGGGAAAAAAATTGAATGAACTTTATTATTTCAATTATATATAAATAGAATAAACTATTATTTAAATAAAGTTTTTATTTCATCAGGTACACACGTACAATCATACACAAACACACACATGTACACAAATACAGAGAGAAATTATTTAATACAAATTAAAAGATAATCAAGTTTGATTGTAATTTTGTATATTCCATTAAAAGATACGCTTTGCGTACGTCATTTAATGAAATAAATACATTTAATCGAACGTACATTTTCGTGTTATCGATAAGATCGAGAATGCGATCGTTAATTCGAAACGCGGCGTGCCATTAAATGTGCACATATGTTGCGGAAAGAACGAGTGAGTGAGTGAGAGAGAGAGAGACAGAGAGAGAGAGAGAGAGGATGCACAAGCTCATGAATAGGCCGATTAGATATAAGTCAAAGGTCATTTCCAGGAGCGTGGCATGGAAGCATTCAGGAAGAAGACTGATACAGGGACGATCCCCTTCGTTCTTTTCTCATCGTTTCACTTATTTTCCGAACGTTTGAACGATAACATTTCTTTTTTTTTTCTCTCTTTTTTTTTTTTTTTTTTTTTTTTTTTTCATTCGATATGATATACCTTTATATAGATAATTGACAAATTTATCGTTAGAATTTTATTCAAATGTAAAATTTAAATGCATTTGTTTTTTATAAATATTATTTTTTTACATATCCAATGTCGATCGAATATTTGTTTTATATATATATATATATATATAAAATGAAAATAGAAATATCAGCGTTATAAAATTTATTTTTTTTTAAAGATACATTTTATTATTATTATTATTATTTTACATACATTAATTTACTTTGTTCGTATAGATATAATAAACATAGAAAATAATGTAATTATTAAATTATATAAAATAATTCTGTCTCGAGGAAAATTTCGAACATTATTATCGTCCTTTGATGTTAATTGTCTTTAAGGAAAATGAATTCGATGATGAGCGACAGGACAGAAGATATAAACCGATAGGATAAAATTAAAGAAGATTTAATAGACTGGAAAATGAATGGAAAAAATAGACGGAGTATTAAAAATAAAAAGTTCAAGTTGTTTACCCGTTACAACATCAGTCTATTGATTTAAGAATAGTATGTCCAATGAAAATTATGAAAGAATATCATAACGTTTCAACTGAATTAATAATTTGCTAAATTTCTGAATATAGACATATTGATTTATTATCGTATCACACAATCCGGAACACAGACTTATTAAATAATTATCAGTTTAACGGTAGGTTAAATATAGAGTTATTAATTAAAAATCAGTTTCATAGAATGTTGAATATAAACTTAAAAACTAATTATCGTTTACAGAATATAGAATATAGAATTATAGGGGTAATCAAAGACTTTATTAATTAATTAAATGGAATAACGAATACCGACTGACCTTTCAGATTTTTTTTTTGATTGTCCCATTTTTTACATTCTCTTACCTCGAACGCACTTAGTTCATCGTATAATCAACTTACCAATTGGATAAAAATTATTAACATTTACGATTTTAATTGATTTAAAAGTTTATTAACGAAGATTTATTAAGGATTAAGAGATACTTCTGAAATTTAATTGAAATGCAATTTATATATTTATTAATAATTTTTATATTTATTATTGTTTTATAATTACGAAATGTAACTTTTAGACATACATACATACATATGTATCGAAGATCTTTCGTATATATATATATATATATATATATATATATATATATATACTTAACCAGAGTGGTATTAAGTGAGTGCATGGGTGGCCTGAGTTTTGAAGAGTTATGGGGTATCGACAACGGCGCCATGGGATAGCGATCTTTTGGTAAATACTAAAAAGGCATCGGTTTACTTTCTCCTTTAAGTGGTAGTCCTTAGATTAACCATTTTCAAATTTCAGCGAGGAAAATATTAAGCGTGAGAAAAATAAAAGGAATAAACACGTACGCAGGAGGTAAAGAAAGAAGGAACGAAAAAAAAAGAAAAAAAAAAAAAAGAAAAAAAAGAATAAAAGGAGAAAAAGAAAAACAAAATTATCTTTTTCCGTTTGTCGTTTAAAATTTGAGGAACCATCCGTTTAAAAGGGTGAACATGTTATCGTCGTGAGTTAACGTCGATTAGTTTCGAAGATGGAAGGTCCAAGAGTTGAAAATAGAAAATCTGTGGACGGGACCTGGGACGGCTTTTGAGTTCGACTCGCGTCATTTCGCTTTAATACGCTCCATTACGCGTCGCGGCATGTTGTCGCGAGGTGGATCGCGCATTCACTCCGTCGAATTAATCGAACGAGAGCACAAAAGCATTCGCGTAACCAGCCTAGATATACATATGTATGTACGAGAGAGAGAGAGAGAGAGAGAGAGAGATAAAGAGAGAGAGAGAGAGAGAGAGATACAAAGAGAAAGAAAGAGAGAGAGAGAGAGAGAGTATTCCACAGCCGCACGGTATATATCCGTCGAGTTTCCGGTTATTTACAGAGGGAAGTTTGCAATTGTTTGCCCAGTCGGTCCATTTCCGGTTCCAGTAACGTACCACAACGTTTCCCTTCGTACTCCACCTCCACGATTGTGGCAACATTAACGAACGTGATCACCCCATCGATCGGCCACCTACGATCGGTCAAAATGATCGAGCACTCTATTTCCCTTCTTCTTTCGATTATTTTTTCTTTATTTCTGCGTTTATAATTTTGTCGCTGGTGATAGATATATGTTGTCTCGATCTGGAACTCCTTCTTCTTCTTTTTTTTTTCTTTTTTTTTTTCTTTTTTTTTTTCTTTTGGTTTCTTTTCTTTTCCTTTTTCTTTCGAATTTGCAAATCGAAAGTGTGAAACTGTCAGTCCGATACAACTGAATATATGTATATATATATATATATATATATATATATATATATATATGTATGTATGTATAATCTCGATGGAGATTCTATTGAAATTTATATGATCAGATCAATCGTCGTAAATATTTATATCTTATCGTCGATTTTTTTTATATATATATATATATATAAATTTTAGAAAAATCTATTTAAGTACGAGATATAATACAGATATTCAAAAACCTTTGATGACTCGGAAAGATTATGAAAATATTTTATTATTCACTTTTTTTTCTTTTATTTCCATTCTGTTTTTTTTCTTTTTTTTTTTTTTTTTTTTAACATACAACACCCTTAATCAATTTTTCCATACGATCATTTTCTAAGAATTTATTACGTTATTTTTCTAATCGTCCTGTACAATTTCTATCGTTTGCAAAGTTTGTTTTACTCGCAGATGTTCTGATATAATTTTGTCAAAGAAAAAATGAGAAATATTCGAAGGAGTAGGGAAAAAAAATGTTCGACTGTCGAAATGTCGATAATTACGTGTCTACTTTTCAAAAATATTGTCATTAATTCCCCGTTAATTCATTCGTTATCATTAAATCATTTTTCTCATTATTTTCTCGCATTTCGTTCATTCATCAATTCATATCACCATAAGTTTGCTTTAATTGACGATAAATATCGGCAGATCTCATTTTTCATAGGCATTTGAAAAAAAAAAAAAAAAAAGAAATGAATCAAATTCCGTAATTAACAGGAGATATTTTCTATATCTTGTTGGTTTCATTTTAACGACTGATATAACATTCGCAAAAATACGTATTAAAGGTACGTGATCGTCGTAACACTAAGAAAACAGATTAGGAAAATG